AAAAAAAAAAATGTATTTCTCGCATTACTTAAGAATACTAATAATGCCTGAATAATCAGCGGGAAAATCACATTCTAGTGAACTCTGCTACTGCCCATAACTCAGACGCAAATGTCCCATTGCCAGTGGTCCTGACGTGCGCACCTCCACTTGCTATGTAGAGCGAGCAAATGCCGCGCAGGAGAAGCAAGGAGCAATCCAGAAACGTGCAGCAGTTTGACCCGTGATCTGTCCCGCTCTCTGTGATGAGTATTTAAGCTTGTGAAATTGTTGTAAGATTCAGAGTGTATGTTCAGTATCGTCATCGAGTCGTCTTCCGTTTATCGTCGTGTATCCCCCCAGTGTTCAGCGTCACCGTCCCGTGTCTTCAGTGCTCAGGATCGTAGGTATTCAGTGTGCCCTACGTTTCGCGCCCAGAGGTCCAGTGCAGCAGTGTGGTGCTGCAATCCAGTATCGGCACCTTGTCTGCAGCGGTTGTCGCTGCAAGCGCTCGGATAAATTTCCATCGCCCCAACGAATCACTTGTAATCTAGCATTCGTGTTGATAAAGTTTGTTTTTTGACTCCAATCTGTCCACTACGCGCCACAGTACAACAGCATTCATCCGATTTTCCGTCCGAAGCTCGTCGTGACATCATCGTAACGTCGTCCCTCGTCTTCCTCATAACAGCTACATAAAACCAGTTCGGTGTACGCCATCTTTTCACGCATCATCCGAAATAGCCATTTAGTTTTTCATCAGTGCCACCTATTGATAATCGGCATCCACCTATTGCTAGCTGCACTGTTGGTGTGAAAATGTGTTCCAGTGAAATGAGAGCTAATCGATGCAAGTTTAAAATTTTTAAAATTACCACGAAAATCAACATTTCAAAAATCAGTGAAAAAATGATGCTGTCACATGCAGGAAAAAAAGATGATTGCCTGTTCGCTAGTTGTTGAGACAGGCGTGCTGTGGCTACGTTCCAACTCTTCTCCGCCACTCCCAGATGTCGCTGTGCCACGAAAATCGTGTTTTTTAGCAGTTTCTGTGGCAGCAAGAGTTGCTGCCGATTCACCGACTGGCATCGACTGAGACGTTGTTGGCACTTCTAAAGTGGATAATGATCACATGGGGTGCCATATGAACCAGCAAATTTGCTATCCAGGATTACTATTTCAGAATCTGCTGAAATTTGCAAAAATCGATCCTTCTTACACAAATCAAACCTAGCAGAACTGAAGTGAAGGAGCCTACAGAATGAGTCACACTGTTAAGAAGTGTAAGTTAGCACTGTCAGTGCATTCGAACCATTTAAAAACGAAAACACCTTCTTCATTCTGCAGCTCCTGAGTCCCGTAGCACGCAAAGAAAAAAACAGCCCTGCTTGACGGAGGACACAGTCTTCCCTCTTCTTCTGTCAGTTCGACTGGGATTTAAATTATTTTCTTGCCTTGCAATTTATAATTTGGAGTGTACTATGGTCACGGTAAATTTCAAAATCTGAGACGAAAGCTGTCAGATGTGGTTCAAGTGGCAGCACGCGCCAACAAAAAAAAATAAATAGCAACGCGCACCAGACTAGCCGGTGCGATCATGCGTTTTGCGCAATTCAGCCCATCG